CTACATGACCACCTCAGGTGGGGCCTATGGCTTGATGGCTTGGCTGCCATGCCGTATAGAAATATGGGCCTACACAGCACCCATACGAAGCAGTTCACAACTGCCTAATCTCCAGCTCCAGGGGCCCTTACGCCCTCTTCTGGCCTCATCAGGCACCTTCACATAAGGGGCAAAGACACACACATACGTACACTTGAATACAAATAACTCCTTTAAAATTATATTCTTAGTTGGTTCATAAGCTAATAGGGTTTCCTAAGGCTTCTTCATAAATCCTTAGTTTAGGTTAACCTCCATTTGGCCTCTCCTTCCCCTTATTCAAGTCCCATCCCAGATAGACCCTTTAGCTCCCAGATTCTCTCCCCGTTCTTTCATGTCACATATGTCCTACTATCCCCTCCCAGTACAATGTTTTTAAAGAGAGCATACAGAGTTGAATACAATGGAATATCAGACAAAGCTCTGCAAGGCCTGAATCAAGCGACACAGAAAAGAGAAGGATAGAGAATACAGAGTGAGGCAACACAGAAGAAGAGAACAGAAGAAAGGGGGAGGTAGAGGTACAAGAAAGGAAGATGAGGAATAAGATGGGAAAAAAGTCGTTTTTGGAGTTCTGGGTAAATCACAGCAAACCAGGCTCTCCCTTGCATTTCCATCTTCATTAGCGATATCCTGAAACACCAGCAGATGGGGATATTGGCCTGAAAAAGGAGAAATTTGCACACACACACCCCATTCAAAATTTCCTTTGCTTAAAAAAACACACCAAAAGAGAATTCCAGGTATCTCTGACTCTCCAAACTAAATTTAAGAAGTAAAAGTTCTTATGGTAAATTTTGTGTACTTTTAGTAATTCGTGCTTTTAACTCGAAAGAGGCCACTGTGAATTTTTGACTTTTTATCCATAAGGCTCCCAGCATCCCATCCCATTTCGGTTATTTAATGCATGGATATGTATATGTTGTCTATGTATTTTGAGTCCCTGGTAACTAGTTGAGCAGCATTGAGGTACACTACAACAATTCTGACCCAGCTCCCCATCCGTAGAACTTCTTATGTGGGATGGAACATCTATCTTTTGGATTCTTGTCCGTGGGAATTCTGGGGATCTTTACTTTCCCACCAGTAATACAGCAGCCACTGCAGAGGACTTTCGGTGATTATGTCCTGTTGGCAAGGAGGTTCCTTAAAAGGGACTCACTTTAGTGACAGAGCCCCCACTCTTCAACCGTACCCACATTACTTGCTGATTTCTGGTCAGAAGATCTGATCGGCCCCCAGGTAATGATGTTGCTCTTTCTACAGACAATGGTACTTTGTGTAGCATGGCCATAGTGTCCTTATACTATAGAGGGGTCAAGACACTTACTTTGAGAACTGTATTTTATTCCGTATACTGTGGCCGTCTTTGACACCTCTTAACCTCGATATAACCGTTCATTTTCACTGAACCAGTGCAATTGACATGGTATCTATTATGTCTAAGACCTATGCTAACTGGTTTCAAGAGCATCACTAACTATCTCTGAGATGCACTCCCTGTCCCAGACTCCAAGGATTAGTAACAATGCTGACCTATTACCTATCTTTTTACTCATTTGTTCAATATTTATTTGTTTTATGATTATTTACTTATTGTTAGTATGTACAGGTGTATACTACTGTGTAAGTAGCATCAATATATTTTTTTTTTTGGTGTTTTCGAGATAGGGTTTCTCTGTGGCTTTGGAGCCTGTCCTGGAACTAGCTCTGTAGACCAGGCTGGTCTCGAACTCACAGAGATCTGCCTGCCTCTGCCTCCCGAGTGCTGGGATTAAAGGCGTGCGCCACCACCGCCCGGCCAAGTAGCATCAATATAATAAATAAGAAGTAACCCACCAGGTGGGTCCTAGGAAGACCACCAGGCTTGATGGCAAGTGCCTTTAACCACTGAGCTATCTTTCCAGCTTTCTCATCCAACATTCATTGAGAATCTCCACTTTTAAAGAGCTCCTGGGAGTGGGAGGTGCAGATGGAAAAGGAAAGAAATAGATTTGCTGGCTTGTTGTGACGGCCCATGTCCGTAATCCCAGCTCTAGGCAGGAGATGAGGAGTGCATAGTCACCCTCAGGTACAGAATAGGTGGAGTGCGAAGACAGCCGGAGCCTAAAGGGAGCTGGGGACCTCAGCGCTTTCCCTCCTTCATACTTAGCTACCAAGGAGCAGCTCCTTCTTGAGAACGAATAAATAAATAAATAAAATAATTTAAAAAATGAAATGTGTTTCTAATTAGCTCCAAAATTAGTTATTAGCTTCAAATAAGCTTAGTATGGAAAATGTTGACAGAAGAAGCAGATAAATGATTAGACAATGAAACTCTTTTCATCTCTTTCCTTTTCCTTTCTGGAAACAATCAATTGAAAACAATTGGGTAGGATCAAAGAAAGCAACCTCCCAGTCAGACAAAGAGTTGTGACAGATAAAAGCAAGCACAGAGTGTGTGTGTGTGTGTGTGTGTGTGTGTTTGAAAGAGAGAGAGGGAGAGTTCTCACTTGAGCAACAGCAGCCTTCCTGTCTTGGCCTCTCAAATGCTGGGATCACAAGTGTAAGGCACAACATCAGGCTGCAACAGGATTTGTCACAGGATCTTTTAGTTGTAAAAATAGCAGGAAGATAGTAGGTGAATTTGAATAATGGGAGGATTGCATAGTTGCCAAAGGTGGGTGGCAGATCTCAGTAAATTTGAGGCCAGTTTGATTTACAGAGTAAGATCCAGGTCAGCTAGGATCTCTCTCTCTCTCTCTCTCTCTCTCTCTCTCTCTCTCTCTCTCTCTCTCTCTCTCACACACACACACACACACAGAGCTGTCCAAAACAACACAAAATGAAGATGAACAACTCATAAAGAGATACAGTTTCATTTGGTTCCTAGGTTTGGAGGAATGACTGATTGGTTCCACAGCTTAGAGCCTGTGGTGAGCGGTAATTTGCAAAAACAAAACTGTTCACCTGGCAGTCAGGAGGGTTTGTTGCCTTCCAGATTCTCTTTGAGGCCACACCCCTTCCATGTCTTAAAGAGACTCATCCGAAATTTTAAAGTTCCCACCATCCCCAACAGTTTCATGGCATGTTAAACAAGCTTTTAAAGAATTTTTTCTCGGGCGGGCGGTGGTGGTGCACGCCTTTAATCCCAGCACTCGGGAGGCAGAGGCAGGTGGATCTCTGTGAGTTCGAGGCCAGCCTGGTCTACAAGAGCTAGTGCCAGGACAGGCTCCAAAGCTACAGAGAAACCCTGTCTCGAAAAACTAAAAAAAAAAAAAAAAAAAAAAAAAAGAATTTTTTCTCTTAAAGATTTACTTATTGTGCGTGTGTGTGTGTGTGTGTGTGTGTGTGTTCAGGTGGCAAGGAGGCCAGAAGAGGGCATAGAATCCCAATGAGTTACGGGCAGGGGAGCTCCAACAATGGATGTTTGGAACAGAACCTGAGTAGTTTAGTACAGCAGCGAGTGTTCTTAACTGCTGAACCATCGTCTCTTCAGCTATCTGGGGGACAGACCACACTCGACTATTCCAAGTTCTTTGTCCATAGGAAAGTCTAGTCTTCAGTGGTGAGTGTGTTATCTAATTGACAGTTTTTTTGGGGGGGTGTATGTTTTATTTCTTTAATGAACACATAAAGATATACAAGGAATACACTGTAATATTTCACTGCAATGTATCATGATCAGATTGGGCAACTGTTACATCCAATATAAAATATTTATCATTTCTTTGCAGTAGGAAGATTTAACATTTTATTTGTTATTTTGAAATGTGTAATTAATTGGCATCCCTCAATCATCTCACTGTTTTATAGAGCATGAGAAGGTATTTCTCCAAACAACTGTTCCCTTCTACTTGTCCCATCTTTTTTCTACTCAATACTCAAGACTCTTCCCAGCCTCTAATATGTACCATTTTACTGTTACTTTACTAATTGACAGTTTAAATGCTCAGGGGGAATAGTTCTTTGTCGTGTACTTGCATTCTTTTTGTTTTTGTTTTTCAAGACAGGGTTTCTCTGTGTAGCCCTGGCTGTCCTGGACCGCCTTCTGTAGACCAGGCTGGCCTCGAACTCAGAGATCTGCCTGCCTCTGTCTCCCTGAGTGCTGGGATTTAAAGGTGTGTGCCACCACCGCAGGGCTTGCATTGCTTTTATGTGTAGCAGTTTCTATAACGAAGTAATTAGGAAAGCGAGGCAAAAGCTCCTGCAGGCATTAGGGTCATTGTAGTTGTCTGGGTGTTGAGGAGGATATGGGGTTCTCAAAAGACAGTATTTTGGAGAACAAAGATGATTCAGCCTTGACCTGTATTTGGGCAAAGGTGCTTTGGCCTGGGCCTATGCTCCTCCTTCCCCTTGCTATGATAGTTCCCCACGAGGAAAAAGAGTTGTTGAATCTGTTCATCTCTCTCTCCCTCATACTCCACTTCAGAAGCTTTTGTCGGAATGACCCGAGTTCTCCTTGTCTCTCCTTATGGTCTTATCCTCCCGGAGCTGTTTAGAACAAAGAGCATTAACGCCTCTGCCAGAGGAGGTATCATGGTGGGAGATGTATAGGGCTTGCTCTCCAAGTGTGTGGATGGGAAACTCTGTCGAGCAGCGGCTGTCCCCCACTGCCACATCTGCTTGGTGCTCTAGGACTTCATGTCTGCGAATTCTAAGTTTCAACTTGGTCTTTTCAGGTCTTGGGGTGGTATTTTCGTGGAGGGGAAGAAAGACAGTCCTCTACCTAAATGATTCTAAGTCGGAGGCAGCTCCACGCCAAACCTAGGCTGAAGAGGCTGTGTTCCGCATTTGGCTAGCGGTGATACTAATTTCGGGCGCAACCCGAGCACTGTGCCACTTTCGAGCTGCACCTCGCAGAGGCCCTCCTACTAGAGGGCGTGGCCATCGTGGGAGGAGCCAAGAGTGGTCCGGAACAAAACTCCAGTGCGCGAGGGGCGTGGTCTCGCAACTTGCATGTTTTGGGAGGGGCCCCGAGATCCACTTCCGGCGTGTGCGTCCGCGTGTGGAACCGGCGAGCTCATGGCTTCCCTGGAGTCTTCCAGGCTGGACGGCCTGACTGGAGACATGGAGACAGAGGTGCCACAGTGTGCAAGGTGGCTGTACTGTGGGGAGCCTGACGACAGGCAGAAAGCTGTGCTGGGTAAAGACTGTGAGACCCGAGCGGACGCCCCTCCTGTCTGGGCTCCACGGTAGCCCTCCTGCCCACTTCCTGGAGCTGGGACAGAGCCCCGGCTATCCTCCCGTTCCTCTGTCACGACTTCACATCTATGCAAGAACATTTCACAGGGCACTGCCCAGATCTCTCATTCGCTCTTTCCCCCCTCCACGGAGCAGAGTTCTCTCTCTTCTGCCAGTTAATGACATTCCCTCAGTCATTTTGTGATAACTTTTGCCCAGCGGCCACCCCCTATCTCCCTCTTTACTACTGGACCAGGACTTCCTTCAGTCCCCCTAAAAGTCGGACAGAAGCTCCCTTGCCTTCATCACGGGTTCCCAGCCACAATGCAGTTCTTCCCCCACTACTCCCTGCTGGTCCTGTTCTTATCTCATTCTTGGGTTACATTTACAGTTCAGTTCTCCAATGGGAAGCTGCAGAATCCAGGCAACATGCGCTTCACCTTGTACAACAGCAACGACGTGGTAAACCCGAGGTTGAGGAATCAGCGGATCCTGGTAAGTGCAGAGTTCAGGTTGTCAGAACTCTGCAAGGCTCTGCAGGCCTCTGAAGACCCTTGGTGGGGGCAGATATGGGAGGGCCAAGGGGAGAAAAGGAGGAGTAGCAAATGGGACTGTGGCGGCGCTGAGTGAAAGATTTGGGTGAAGCGATGACTTTCCACATATTTGGGTTCCATTTCTTTGGAGACAGGATTTCTCAGTGTAGCTCTGGCTATCCTAGAACTCACTGTGTAGAACTTGCTGAATATTCCCAGTGTCCTCATGTAACAGACAAAGGGAGCACCTGAGTCAGATTTGACAGCATTCCTCGGGGACTCAGCGACAGCACTCTTTGATGGGCATGGGTGTTATTTTGTTTTTGTTTATGCACCATGTCTGTGTAGCTAGCTGGTGGAGGCCAGAAAGGGGCATTGGATCCCCTAGAACTGGAGTTACAGATGGTAGCTAGCCACCTTGTGGGTGCTGGGCTTCAAATGCTGGTCCTCTGGAAGAGCAGCGGGTGCTCTCTACCCCAGAGCCTTTGTCCAGTTCCCAGCTTGAGCACTGTTGATGTTTTGAACGGGGTGATTCTTTGTTGTGGGTGGGAGACCTGTGCCTCACAGAATGCTTCTTGTTTGTTTTTCGATTTTCAAGAAAGTGTTTCTTGCCTGGCAGTGGTGGCGCACGCCTTTAATCCCAGCACTCGGGAGGCAGAGGCAGGTAGAGCTCTGTGAGTTCGAGGCCAGCCTGGTCTACAAGAGCTAGTTCCAGGACAGGCTCCAATGCTACAGAGAAACCTTGTCTCAAAAAAACAAAAACAAAAACAAATGAAAGACAGTGTTTCTCTGTGGTAGCCCTGGCTGTCATGGAACTCATTCTTTAGACCAGGCTGGCCTTGAACTAAAGAGATTCGCCTGCCTCTGCCTTCTGAGTGCTGGGATTAAAGGCGTGCTGCCACCCAGCTCCACAGGGTACTTAATAGCATTTCTGGTCTCTCCCCAATAGGTGTAGGGTTAAGAATGCCTACTTTCCAGAGATGCAAATTCTCTGGGTAGTACAGGTGGACAGCAGAAAAAGCTTAGGGTTTAGGGCCTAGGGAGCTCAGTAGGAAGAGAAGTCTCTACTTGTCTGAATGCCTTCCTGGGAAAGGTACATCAGAGTTGAGCTCTGGAAGATTGGGGAACAGGTAGAAGCTGATGTTTGGTGTCCAAAGTGACAAGGGGAAAAAAAGAACTTGTCTAATTGGGAAGAGCTGGGTCTAGGAAGAGCTGACGTCGGAAAGGTTGGCGAAGATCTGGGGCTGCGCAAGCCAATGACCTGCAGAATCATTGTACCCGGGAGTGCTGGAAGACCAAGACCTCACTGTCTGGTTCTCCATGCAGCTCACTCAAGAACTTTTATTTTTCTCTCTCACTTTAAATTTTTTTTAACTGGGGACTGGAAAGATGGCTCGGCAGTACTGACTGCTCTTCCAGAGGAGCCAGGTTCAGTTCCCAGCACCCACTTGGCAGTTTCAGGGGACCCTTAGACAGACACACGTGCAGGCAAAACAGTAATGCCCATAAAATAAAAAATAGAAATGTTTTTATCTTTATTCTCGCTGCCCACTGTCTTTCCCCACATTCCCTATTCCCCTCTTGTTAGTCCCCTGCCTCCCTCTCAAATCTCACTTTCGTGACATCCATCCTCAGCTGGAGAGATGGCTCAGTGGTTAAGAGCACTTACTGCTTTTCTGGAGGACCTGGGTTCAGTTTCTTATACCAACATAGAGGCAACAACTGTAATTCTAGTTTGCCAGCACTGCATACAGGCAAAACACTCTAAAACACATGAATATCTCATTACATACATATTATATTACCCTCTGTTCCCTCTTCTTTTGCTACTCTTTTTCTCATGGTTCCTTTCTACTGTCATGTCCTGAATGTACACGCACACACACTGCTCTTTTACCATGTGGATTCTGGGGCTAACTCAGGTTGTCATCTAAACCACAAATGCTTTATCCACGGAGCCCATGTGGAACCTTACAGCTGTTCTCATTGGTGTCTCTGATGGGTAAGGTCTTTATCCACGGAGCCCATGCGCAACCTTACAGCTGTTCTCATTGGTGTCTCTGATGGATAAGGTCTTTTTTTTTTTTTTTTTTGGTTTTTCGAGACAGGGTTTCTCTGTGGCTTTGGAGCCTGTCCTGGAACTAGATCTGTAGACCAGGCTGGTCTTGAACTCACAGAGATCCGCCTGCCTCTGCCTCCCGAGTGCTGGGAATTAAGGCGTGCGCCACCACCGCCCGGCCTGATGATGGATAAGGTCTTTATCCACGGAGCCCATGCGCAACCTTACAGCTGTTCTCATTGGTATCTCTGATGGGTAAGGGTCTTTCTTTATCCACGGAGCCCATGTGCAACCTTACAGCTGTTCTCATTGGTGTCTCTGATGGGTAAGGGTCTTGAGCACTTCTCATATTTTGGGCAGTTTGTGTCACTTCTTTAAGAGCTGTCTACTTAGCTCATCAGTCCTCTTTTTGACTAGATTAGTTGAGGTTTTTTTTTAATTTTTACAGTTCTTTGTATATTCTAAATATTAATCCCTTGTTGGATGAATATTATTATACTTGGCAGTGATTTAGCCCCTTCTGTATGCTCTTTACTTTAGGTAATATTTGCTTTGCTCTGAAAAAGCTTTTTAATTTCATGCAATCCCAGGTGCCACTTCCCCCAAGAACTATACCTACCACCTCAAAGCTTTCTTAAGGTATTTGGGGTTCCCTTTCCAAAGTTTTCTTGCCTTTCCCCCAGAGACACCCTAGGTTCCTATAGATGAGATGGGGCTAGATCTCCTCCTGGAGGGTGTGTAGGGCTGGCACAGTTTGGTCCTGGATTCAAGTCCATGCTCAGTGCCCTTCAATGCTGATCGTCAATGGAACACTTTGTTTTTCAGGCCGCTGAAACAGACAGGCTCTCCTATGTTGGAAACAATTTTGGGACTGGCGCCCTCAAATGCAACACTCTTTGCAGGTACTAGGCCACGGGGCAGTGACAGAGGGGCTAGGAGGGTTTAGTGCGACAGTGACACCATCTTCAGTCCTTATTTTGGAGGTAGTTGGGGGGATCTGTGGGTTCACTAAGATCCTGTGTGTAGTGATATTTCATTTGTATTTTAATAAATAAAACTTGCCTGAAGGTCAGAAAAGTAAAATAGCCAGCCACCAACTCTTACCTCTACACCTCTACCTCAGTCTGAAATGGTGATCCCGCCTCCAGGGATCCCAGAATGAGACTGTGTGTGAGAGCTGTCTCCTCCCTTATATTCCTGTCTAGGACTGGGATTAAAGGCGTGCACCACCACCACAATCTAGATGTGATTGCTCATCAGAACCATCTGGTGGCTTTTTCAGTCCTCATCCATTCTGTGTGTCCTCCCTCTTCATCCCTACTGCTCCCTCTCTGCAGGGATTGTTACCTGTGAGCAAGCAGACGCCCTCCTCCGGCAGAAAGAAGCTAGGGATCTGTAAATAGGAAAGAGGGTTGTGTGGATAATAACCCGTGCATAATCTACTACCGTGTCATTCTGCTTCTGCCCAGACACTTTGTGGGGATTGTGAACAAGACCTCTGGCCAGATGGAGGTGTATGATGCCGAGCTGTTCAACATGCAGCCGCTGTTTGCCGGTAGGTTCCAGAAATGAAGACTCAGTTAAAGGTCACATCATAGGGGTTTGTTGGATTAGTTCATTTTTGTTTCCTAAGAGGCATTTGTAATTTTTTCTAAATGGTTTTCCCCTCATACACCTTTCTGAGACAAGGTCTCATGTAGTCCAGGCTGCCCTTAAATTTGCCGGGCAGCTGAGGATGACCTTGGACTTCTAGTCCTCCTGCCACCAACTCCCGAGTGGTGACCTTACAGGTATGTGCCACCACACGTGCTTATATGGTGAAGGGAGTGTGACCTTAGAACGTGGTGTCTCCCGGCAAACACAGCTCATCCTCAGCCATAATGGGACGCCTTCTTGCCAAGTGTTTTCTTTTTTTTATTTGAAAAAAAAAATATATATAGTATATATTTTAATGAATCATTTATTGACCCCTTACTATCTAAGCTAAGGACTTTGTATGACAGGCAAGATCCCGTCTCTCCAGCATTTACAGATGTTGTCTCAGAAAGCAGCCTTTTTAAGCAGGAATAGTCGTCAGTGCAGGTGTCTCATGGGGCTTTCTTTCCCACCACAGGCTCTTCTTAATCCTTCATGTGTGGGAGCACAGGTGTTCACATGCCACAGCACATGTAAGCGGTCAGAGCAGAACCTCTGCTGTCTGACCACCTGTTTGAGAAACTGTGTCTGTTGGCTCTGAGTAGGCCGGCAGCTGCCCCTTGAGCGTCTGGGGTTCTCTTGTCTCTGCTTCCCATCTTACTGTGGCCGCATTGGGATTCCAGATGTGTGCTACCGTGCCCAGCTTCCCAGGTCCTCATGTTTGGGTAGCAATTTTCGGCACACTGAGCCATCCTCTAGACTTTCTAAATTCCAATGGAAATTTTAAAATTTTATTACACTTATTTATTGGATGTATATATGTGTATGTGTATTATATATATAATATGTATTATATATAATATCATACACACACCACAGTACATGTGTGTGGTCACAGGCCAATTCAAGCAAGTTGATTTTCTCTCTCCAGAATGTGGATCCAGGCACATGTGAACAACATGTGACTCAGGTCATCAGACTTGGTAACAGGCACCTTTTTACCTGCTGGCCCTCTACCAGCCTGCTGAGGTAGAATTGTTTAAATTCCTTTTTAAAAAAGATTTATTTTATGTGCATGGTTCTACATGTGTGTCTGTGTACCACATGCATGCATTGCTTGTGGAGGCCAGAAGAGAGAGTTGGATCCCGTGGAACTGGAGTTATACATGGTTGTTAGCCATCATGTGGATGCTGGGAACTGAACTTAGGTCCTCTTACAAGAGCAGCCAGGTGCCCTTACCTGCTGAGTCATCTCTTCAGACTCTAAGGTTTTTTAATTCTTGATGAGATACATTTGTGTTACATGCTGATAGTTTATAAATAGTGGCTTGTTCTGGCTCGCTGCACGCTAGATTTTTTTTTTTTTTTTTTTTTTTTTGAGACAGAGTTTCTCTGTAGCTTTGGAGCCTGTCCTGGAACTAGCTCTTGTAGACCAGGCTGGTCTCAAACTCACAGAGATCCACCTGCCTCCCAAATGCCGGGATTAAAGGTGTATGCCACCACCGCCCGGCAATGCTAGTTTTGGGTTTTTGCAGTGTGCTTGTCACTATTCTGAACACCTTTCACAAGAACCACATAATTACTTCATAGGTACTACTATTCTTTTTCTTCCTTTCCTCTGTGTAGGTCTGGCTGTCCTGGGACTCGCTCTGTCCAGGCTGGCCTTGAACTCACAGACATCTGCCTCTGCTGGGATTGAAGGCAGTTGCCACCACCACCTGGATTTTTTTCTTTTCTTTCTCTCTCTCTCTCTCTCTCTCTCTCTCGCTCGCTCTCTCTTTCGTGTGTGTTATTCCTTTTTTTAGCAGCACTGAGACGTGGCTGACTGAGGTGACCTGCTGCTGAGCTAACCCGAGCTTGTGTTCTTGCCCTTCAGATTGTACCGCTCACTATTTGAGTACATTGTGGGAAGTCGGAGAGTGACGTGTGAAAATTCCCAGTATGTTTATAAACACCCGCCTTTTAGGTCTTTGACCAGAAAAGCAGATCTACTTATCGGAAGAGCCAAGGACTTGGTTTCTGTTCCCTCTGACGTGGCCTGGCTTGGGAAAGTGCCTGGACCAGTCACTGTGTCTGCGGGCCTCATCTTTCCTTGTTTCTGATCTAAGAGGCTGGGGCAGAGGACAGCCATTCTTACTTATTTACTGAGGAATACAGCCAGTATTCAGTGTACATTCATGTTAGGGAAGTCTCGGAATAAGGAGCTTGGTTTTTCTTAGATTAATGTTAAATAAACACTAAGCACTATTAATATTTTTAAGACCTTGCAGGGCTGAGCACACGTGCACACGCTTATGGGGTTAAGACCCGGGTATCAGCTGAACTCAAATTTAAAATCATCGTGGGCAGCATAGTGAGCCCCCCCCCCCCCCCCAATATAGTAAAGTACTCATTGGTGAGCCTCACAGTGTGCTTTCTTCCTGTTCTGTGTTTCTGTAGAAGATGCTATTGAGCATGAGTCCCTGCTGGACAATCAGACCAAGACTTTCAGGGAAAAGGTGAGTGACAGTTAAGGACGCTCCTTCGAGGCCTGGTTTCCCTGTCAGTGTAACAGCCCCCCTGAATGTGGGCCTCCCTGGCTGCGCCATCTCAATTGGTCTTTGGTTCTCCGCCTGGTTGCTACCTGCAGAGGCCTTCTGGTCTCCCAGGGAGCAGGCTTGCTGCTGCCTTGGCCAGGTGAACACAGCCAGTGTCGGTATTTGCACCCTGTTCTCTGGGATGAAGGGGGTATAGCAGAAAGCTTCTTAGGTTTTGGTCCACACTGTGGACAATGTTGTACCTGGAGATGCATATCAACAAAGTAAGTTCTTTGAGCTTCTGGATGTAAAGAATTCTTAGTGAAGTCTCGCCTTTGGGTGGCAGACTGAACTTTCAGTACTGCATGGGCCACAGCAAAGAGAAGACCACTCTGGTTCACTTGGGGAGAGGGAGTGGTTTATTAACAGCGTCTGCTACGGGAGCAGATGGCAGATGGGTGGGATGTGTGCCACAGGTTTCCCAACCCTGATTCCAGTCAAGTCTTTCTGTACCGATGGAAAACTAAATGTGGATTTGTAACTGGGAGTCAGTGCAGCAAACCCAGTCCTTATGTGGACAGGTTTGAGAAAGGACTCAGCCTGAATGACAGGTGAGGTAATCCTGGCTCAAGGACCCCACAGCTTGCTTGTGATTACACACTTGGAAACAGCCGTGCTGCCCAGCCTGTCCTTGGTAACTGGGTTTGTTTCTTACACAGTTGGATTCTTGCATTGAAGCCTTTGGAAGCACCAAGCAGAAGCGGTCCCTGAACTCCAGGAGAATGAACAAAGTTGGCAGCGAATCTTTGAATCTCACAGTAACTAAAGCTGCAGAGAACATCATCGATACAAAGGGTGTGAACGGTAAGAGGCTGGAGCTTGGGGTAGAGTGTGCCCGCAAAGGTAGCAGATGCCAGCGGGGAGCTCGAAGGCTGGATTCCTTCCTGGTACATGGCCGCAGCCTCTCTGATGCTGTGTAGTGAATATTTACTATCATGCGTCTCTAACTCTGCTCTGAGTTACTTGAGGGCAAACACTGTATCCACCTTCTGCATGGCTGGGAAGTTCAGATCCTGGCAGGTGTTCAGATTGGAGTTTTGGACCGTGTGGTTTCTACTGTATTGGGTTCATGGAGTGTTGGGAGCCTGTAGCTGCACAGGGTGGCACTCATGTTAATTTTCCTCCACTGAAAGCTCTGGTCAGCGATGCCATGCAGAATGACTTGCAAGATGACTCCCTGTACCTTCCTCCCTGCTACGCTGATGTGACCAGGCCTGAAGACGTGTACAGATTTGAAGACAGTATCCTTGCAGTTTGGAAGGTGCCTAATTTGCAGGCTGTCGTGTTGGTACACATTGGCAGAGCCAGGCTGTGTAAGAGTAGCTGTAGCCGTGGTCCTGCGACATTAATAAATGCAACATCCAACCCTTTTCCCACATCCCATTGCTGTTGGCAAAAGGTTTGTCAGTTTGGCTTCCTCATTAGCGGAAGGACCTACTCCTGGGAATCAAACCCGGTGTTCAGTTAACAGCTTTGTGCTGTGGGGGTCATTCTCCACAGACAGAATATAACCTTTGAGTTGGCTGGCATCAAAGTCCAGAGCAGACATACTGAAACAAGTGTCGGAACATAGAACTCCCCTGCTCAGGGGGTCTGGCTAGTTGGAGAATGCTAACAAAAGCTCTAGTAGTGAAGGGGTAATCCAGGTAGGAAGTGACCCCGGGGCTGGAATCTGGGAATCGGGTCTCTGTTCTCCACCCTGCTTCCTCTGAGTTCCTTCTCTGCCTGGGAAATGAGGTCCCTTGAGATGACTTAGGTGTCCATTTTGGTCAGTTATGTTCTTGACTTGCAACCAGTTCTGTCCCCGGCTGAGTACGATGCTCTTGAGAGCCCTTCCGAAGCCTTCAGAAATGTTACATCAGAAGACATACTGAAGATGATTGAAGAGAACAGGTATTCGTGGGCAGGTGGGGCATCGTGAGGCATGATGGGAAACGGAGTTTGACATAAAGCAAGACCTTGATAATACCACTCAGAAAGTAGCAGCTCAGGGAGTTTATGGGGAGGTGTCTGCTCAGCCACAGAGTAAGGAGCAAGCTTTGACACCAGGCATTCAGGAGGTGTGGATAGATCTAAGGAAGAGGATTGGTTTATGCGTGTAGCACCTATAGCTGGAGAGATGGTGGCAGGGTCCTGTAATCTGGGGCCCTGGACCAAAGCCAGCCCCATGTCCTGCTGTTGTTAATGCTGATTGTCACTGGCGATGGCCAAAGGCTGGCATTGGCATGGATGCAACCAGAGTGATGGCTGTCTGACAGTATGCTTGCCAACAACTTCTAAAATTAAATATGCACATTTTAAATATTGTATATTTAGTTTAAATAACAGAGATTAACCCTCTTAAAACAACTTTTTTTTAAAAAAAGATGATGGTTAGTTTATGTCTTAGTTCTGGTCTTTCTAATTATTCCTTCCTTTTTTATAAGATTATGTTGTGTGCATAACATGGGTAGGGAGGGGTCCAGTAGACGATGTCATTGGATCAGGTGTGAGTGCTAAGAAACGGACAAGGCCTCTGCAAGAGCAATGCTGTTTAACTGCTCAGCCATCTCTCTAGTCCTCCTTGTCTTCGTTTTTTTCTTAGAGTTTGTGTGTGTCTGTGTGAGTGTGAGATTGTGCTTGTGTGGGGGTGCGTGTACATGTGGAGGTCTGAGGTTGATCATCTTCGGAATTGTCCTCTGTTGTTTTTCTACCTTGTTCAATGACGTGGAGTCTGTCAATCAAACCCGGTGTGCCCTGCTAGGGTTAGCCTCCCTAGCCAACCCGCCCAGAGGGGATGGAGTGTGTGGGGACCGTGTGCTGGTGATGCCTCCTGACCGCCTGTTTCTCTTCCTTGTTTTTAGCCACTGTTCCTTCATCATAGAAATGCTGAAGTCTTTGCCATCAGATGAGCGGAGTCGAGACCGGCAAGCCCGAAGCATCTGGTTCCTAGACGCCCTCATTAGATTTCGAGCTCAGAAAGTGATAAAGGGAAAAAGTCAGCCCCTTGCAGGCACTTTATCCTGTTATCCTCAGTGGTTGCTTGTCTGTGGATGTCTGTCTGTCCAGGCTCTCTGTGTGGCCTGCCCTTCCTGCTGGTCCCACTGCCTGCCTGAGCCTCGCAGGGCTCTCTTTTCTGTATTTCTTTTTCTTTCTTTCTTTCTTTTAAATATTTATTTATTATGTATACAATATTTTGTCTACATGTATTCCTGCAGGCCAGAAGAGGGCACCAGACCTCATTACAGATGGTTGTGAGCCACCATGTGGTTGCTGGGAATTGAACTCAGGACCTTTGGAAGAGTAGGCAATGCTCTTAACCGCTGAGCCGTCTCTCCAGCCCCCTTCTCTGTATTTCTTTCATCTGCTCTGGAAATGGGGACAGGGTGGATGGGGCTTCCAGAGAGCACATGCCCTGCTTGTTCTGCCCGGTAAAACACAGTGTCCTGGTCAAATGAGAGGAATAACCTACGGGAGGCTGTTAGAATAAACATCAGTTACAGGAGGAGGAAATCAGGGCTTTGCTTGTGAAGAAGCTTGGGGCAGGTGGTTTTGCTTTTTAAGACAGTCTCACTACACAGCCCTGGTTGGCCTGGAACTCACAGAGATTCATGTGTCTCTGCCTCCCGAGTGCTGGGATTAAAGGTGTGCACGGCTATGCTTGCCTTTTTTTTTTCTTTTTGTGATGTGTAGGAGGATGTGGTGATGGTGTGTTTCACACTGAGAGTGCGAGGCAGTTTGTGATGTCCCACCTGCTTCTAAGACCATACGTGGCGGTCACACACTCATGCCCACCCCAAGCTGAAAAGCCAGCAGGAGACCCCTGGGGTTTGCAGCACAAGGCGTGTCTGTTCACTCTTCTTGTGGAGAGCACCAAGGATGAACTCTCAAGTTTCGTGTTCTGGTCTCTCGCGCCTTCCACCCTCAATTTACTTAGTTATAGGTAGTTATGGGGGGGGTGCGTGCTCAGTGTACCTATGGCCAGAGGACAGCTTTGGAATCAGTTCTCTATATCCATGCGAATCCTTGTGGCACATCTTGACCCACTGGGTCATCTCACCAGCTCCACCTGCAGTCTACTTTATTTTCCAGTATTTTACTGTGTGTGCCTCGTCCTCATCAGTCTGTTCTAGCTGTGTTCACACCCCTTCACAACACCTTCTGTGTGTGTCTGACTTTAAAGTGGCTGTTTTGGCTCTTAGGCCCCTGTTCCTCTTATCATGTGGTTCTGGCCATTACAGCCCCCACCCACCCACTTACAGATGTGCCCCTTTACAGGAAAATGATCCAATGTTGACTTTGTGTTCTAGGTGCCCTGGGACCTGGAATCCCCCACATCATCAACACGAAGCTGCTGAAGCACTTCACCTGTCTGACTTACAACAATGGCAGGTCAGGGGCTGTTTCTGTGGAAGGAATGCAGGTGGGGGTGGCAGGGAAGTGTGGGGACTCAGGTGCAATTCCATGTCCAGAGATCCAGCGCCAAAGAGTCACTGCCGTCTGGCGGTCTTCTGGGGACATCATACACTGTCCCTCTTGGAAGTGTTCATTTGTCTTTAGCTGTGGGGCACCCTGCAGTGCCGGGCTTACTGCTGATCAGTGCTGCAGGAAAGGACAGCTACCCAGTGACCTAGAAGACAAACTGCACTGCATCCAGGCCTTGTTTGCCGCTGTTTGATGGGGCTGTGCTCCCTGCTCCTGCTGTGTTTGGAAAGAGCAGGGGCAGCACTGAGGCTGGGTGGTTTTTCCTGTGGCCTGCTGAGCAGACAGTCACAGGCTCCTACAAAGGTTTCATGAGTACATCGCTACCAGCTACCAGCCACCTGGGGAAACGTGGGCGGGGCTTTCTCTGTCTCTGAGAGGAAACATGGGTTGACTTAACTGTCCACTGTGAGACTTGGGCAGCTTGGAAGGAACAGGCTGTGTGTGTGGCTTTGCCCCGCTGCCCCCCAAACTGGGACCACTGACTGTAGAGGGTAAGGCTCTGGTGTTCTTACTTAGCACTTGGGGTTTAACTTCATTTCTCCTCCATTGCCATTGACTGCAGTTTACGGAACTTAATTTCAAATTCAATGAAGGCCAAGATCACTGCGTATGCAATCATCCTCGCCTTGCATATAAGTAACTTCCAGATCGACCTGACAGTGCTGCAGGGGGACCTGAAACTCAGTGAGAAAAGGTGAGCACGGCAGCGTGAGGCTGGTCCCTGCGGCCACCAAGGTGGATTCCTCCTGCCCATGAGGCCCTGTTGAAGGGGGTGAAGGGTTGGGGTGTCTCACGGAAAAATCTTGGGACCAGAAGACAATCTCCTGTGAATGAATGATTGGTTGGCAAAAAACTCTGAGTGCCTTCTCTTTGCAAGGCTTGATACTGAGTTCATTCACAGTCCTTCACTGATTTCCAAAAAATATTAGGACTCTGAGGTCTGGAAAGGAATAACTTTCTCAAGATCTCACTCCCCAAAAGGGTGCCTGCGCCTTAGGCCTGAGCCTCCCACAGCTTTCTGTTCTGAATAACCCTGTGTGCCCTACATTGCTGTGACTAGGGAGGGATCCTCCGTGGATCTAGGGGTGAAGCGAGGGTAGAAACAGAGAACCCAGTTTTATGGTCCGGAGCACAGTGTGCTCCTCACTCCTGTCAGACCTGACAGCGCACACAGGGCTCCTCCTGATCTGTTCCATTTCTTCCTTAGGATGATTGAGATAGCAAAAGCCATGAGGCTGAAGATCTCCAAAAGAAAGGTGACCCTGGCAGACGGCAGGGAGGAGGACCACAGACTGGGCACTCTGTCTCTCCCACTGCCTCCAGCCCTGACCTCAGACCGCCAGTCAAAGCGGAAGAAGATGAACTAGATCTTTTCCAGATGGCTCGCTCTGGCCATGTCACAGCCACTTCTGTCCAGTCCCACTTTTATTTTTTAAAAAAGGAAGCAGACTGGATGTTGTGGTACTTTCCTATAACCCAAGAACTCAGGAGACTGAGGCAGGACAGTTGTGGATCCTGGGCCTGTCCGGGATTCTACTGTGCTCCACCACCCCAAGGCCTTACTTTAGCACTGTTTTCATGCCTCAGCCAGCATCCCAGCTGTGCCTCTCATGCAGAGATTAAAGGATGTCCTAGTTTGACTTCGGCTCCCTCCTTTGCTGTTGCTGTGGTTAGAAATGGCAGATGTTTCTCCTGCTGGGTCATGTGCAGGGTTTGGGAGGGTCAGGCTGAACTCTGGGCCTAAAAAAAGGATGATGGTTTAAAAGGAGGACCTGGACGAGCCGCAGCAGGTGGAGGAGGGCCGGCAGTGGTATCTAAATGAACAGCCTACTACAGCACAGCAGAGCCCAGTCAGGAATGATAACCACGGCTTTCCCTCCCCATGGAGACCATGCAGAGGGGCATGGTTGGCGATGAATACAACGTGGAAAGCATGGACCATCATCATGAGGGTCTCACTTGGTTTTGGATTCAGGCCTTGACAGACCCGCTGTTGTAATAAAGTTCTGGGGTCTGGGGAGGGGAGCTGCGCTAGAGGCTTGAGTCTTTTTAGACAGTACCAAATTGGTCTTGTGGCCATGATTCTGCAGGTGAGTTTAAGACAGACTGATTGGAAGCCTGTCATGGGTTCACATGGTGAGGGGAAAACCAGCACAGGCAAGTTGTCCTGTCTCCACTGTGGGCTGTGGTGCGCATACACCCACAGCAACAGAACTTACAACAAAAACGGGGTTGGAGAGAGCTCAGCAGTTAAAAGTCCCACAAACACCTGAGTTCCAACCCGACACCCATATGCCCAACACCGGGAAGCAAGAGACAGGAAATCCATTGGCTTCCTAGCTGCTGGCCTCACTGAAAAGCACGAGTTCCCAGAGTAGCTTGCCTCAACGGGAAAGGCAGAGAGTAACAGGACACCTGGTACTCTGACGACACCCCCCCCCCCCCCCAGGAAATCAGTCCTCTGTAGGAAACAGACTGCTCCACACTGGATGAAAGAGATGCATAAAACAGCTCATGGCAACACAGTCTGGGCTGGGAATGGTAGCACAAGCCTATAATGCCAACATTTGGGAGGAATCTTCAGCTAATCCGGGGCAGCTTGAAAAAGCAGTTGGTTAAGAAGCCCACAAGGGAAGCCAGGAGAGGGAGCTGACTCTGAACACCCCTTATCAGAAGAAAGTTCAGAAGATGGGTTTGCCTTAGCTTGGGTGGGCTGCTTTTAAGACTAAGAAAACTAACAGTATTTATTTACTACCAGGCCAGAAGATGGCTTAGTGTTTGGTAAAGGCACTTGCCGCCAAGCCAGATGACCCGATTCACTCCCTGGAACCCACCTGGGAGAAGCAGAGAACCAACTTCCCCAAAGTTGTCCTCCGACCTTCACATGTGTGCTGGGACACAGGCTCACATAGAAACACACAAGAGATGTGAAACAGTTCTAACACCGAGCTCATGAGCTGAGTGGGTACATGCTGAGGGAGAACCCAATCCAGGGAGACGTGCTCGTGTATCTGAAGCCCCTTGGCGCACCAGGTGACCTGTATGGAGGCAGTGTCAGTGGTTATCTCCAGACAGGCCCCTGGGCAGGACTCTGGATGGTACAGAGGCCCCGAAATGTAGCCCTGCAGCCTTGGATTCTGAGCCGTGGTGGGAGCAAACTGGTACAACGAGAGCTTTGATTCTGCGGTCTCAGTGGCACCTGCGGGGAAGCCTGCCGGTCCTTGGAACTGCAGCAAATGTGTGGGCCCAGTTAAGACCCGGAAGCGCCTCCTTTAAAATATATAGAGCTTTATTTTGGTTACTGAGATTTTCGTAAGTACTTGATTCACAGAAAAGTCATTTCTTACAAAATACCAAAGGCAGCGTTTTATACAGCGACTCATATTGGGGCCACCAGACAAGGGCATGGGCAGTACTGCAGATGGGAAAGACCAGGGTTCCTGTTCCCAGAGTGCTTAGGGAGAAGTCAGAGCTCCCCCTCCCACTCACCCAACAGCAGCACCTAGGGCTCCACAGAACCAGCATGGGATCTGACCCCAAAGGCTTGTGAGGGCCCTGCAATAAAGGCCAAGTGGGAAAGGGGGTCATCAAGGCGGAGCTGGCCCTGCATGCAGTCCCCTTCCACAGTGGGGTCCAAGCCCACCTGGCTCTCAAAGCTTGTCACATTCACAGTACAGTCTAGGGAAGCCCTTTGGGAGTGGGCCTTCCCATCACTTAGGCCACTAACTCAACTCTGGCTCTGGGCTGGGACTTAAGGACACAGACAGAAGGGGCTCTACCTTCGGAGAGTTCACAGGTAAACAGGCAGGACAGGGTATGGACCCAGAGAGTTCCAAAGCAAGGCAGAAAGTGCTCAGTGCCCTGAGAGGGAACGGGAGGGTGAGGCTGGGGTGGGGGGACACTATCACCGGAGCAACGAAAGTTACACGGAGATGGCAGTGTCTGAGCTAACCCTGGAGTGAGAGGTGGGGCCTGCACACACAGAGATAACTGGGAGGGCATGCGGGGAAGGAAAACAAGCTCAAGCCAAGGCACAGAGTGGGAAACACGGTAGGGCTGGTCAAGGCAGCTAGTCATCCATAAGGATATGGACACGCTGGAGGGCACCTCCACCTAGACAGGCTGGAGCTTGCAGGGACAGAGTACGTGTCCACGCACAGTCCGAATCCTGTGGCAGGCACTGAGCTAATGCTTTGAACCTGGGGGCTCCTTAGGGACAGTGGAGCTTCGTTCTTCACACGGCCCAGCCCAGCACCTGCCTGCACACCTGAGGCAGCCACCTGCCCCTCTTATTTTAGTGTGTCCCTTCATCATTCCTGGGACAGCTTTTCAGGAGGACCTTTTTGCTCCCAGCCCCTTCCTTGCTTCCAGGGCCATGTGCCAGTCTAGAACTGTCTTTAATAAAAACACTGCAGTCCCCAGAGGCGGCTGGGAGGCAGTCCTGTCCCCTGAGGGACCAAGAGGGCAGGCCCTGGAAAGGCAGCAGCTGTCTCCCTCACCACAGTTACTTCCCTTGATCAGAAGGACTCTCTTCCCTGAGAAGAGTCTAGGTTTGGTCTGTGTAAAGTGAGGTTCTCTGTAGTGTGGAATGATTGACCTAAAATCTGCATGTGCTGTTTGAGCCTCCCTAGCTCTTCCTAACCTCTAAGTGCTGGAACACTCCCAATTGCTCTTACTTTTTCTCCTGGGGGAATGTTTCCAAGGTCCTTCCTGATGAAGGCTGTGGAGTAAAGGGTTTAGAAGTACCTTGTTCTTAGTCCTCAGGAGGCCTAGGACCCTCTTTTCAGGAGTGGTGGTGTGTAGGATGGGGGTGGGGCTGGGAGTCTTCCCAGGCTTAACTTCCATCCCAAGAGTCTTAGCCTCTAGCTCTTCTGAGTGCCCACTGGGGCTTGGGGCTGAGGCAAGTCTTCTTGCTTACAGGATAGTACAGAAGATGCTGCGGTTGCTGTGGTAACCACCTTCCACACGGGCTGTGATCCTGGTCGCCATGGCTGTCACCTTCTGCCCACTGTGGGACCCAGAGGAGCCCCTGACTGAGTTTTCAAGGTGAGGCCGTGCTGGTGGATTCACCAGGCGCCAAGTGTCAGACCTGGGGGTGCAGAAGGAGAGCTAGTGAATACAGAGGCAGAGAGTACTGGGTGAACCCCTGCGTCTCACCTTTGGCTCCAGTTCTCTGGGCCTCCAAGTTTAAATCTAGGGACAGATCCCTGTTGTATTTCTGTATGGAACCATGGAACATTTCCTCTGAGGTCCTCAACTTTCCCCATCTTTCTGGATCTAGATGTGAATCAGTGGATTTTATCTCTACCCCTCCCCGCCATGTGCACACACCGCAGCTTTGTGAGCACGAATGGTCTACAAGCCTTATTTATCATCACCTTCAGGTGACGAGCAGGCAAAGGAGTTGCTGCACCAGTGCATGGAAGCTACTCGATGCTGAAAAAGAATGCACGAAGCAGAGAGTGGTGTGCTCCGGCTAACCCGTTCTTCAGAGTTCTAGGACAGCCAGGGCTACACACTGAAACCCTGCCTCAATAAAACAAAGAGACAGAGAATGACTTCCAGGGGGTCTGACTTTCTTCTGACCTTTGCGGACACCAGGCTCATACATGACGCAGACATGCATGCAATCCATGGGACACTCATGTTACACATCAAATAAAAACCAACAACTAAAGCTAGACCAGCACAGGGACACTCACACACCCATGCCTGCTGCTGCATTCACCTATTGATGGGTGGCCCAGACACTAAGTATCTTAGGTTTATGCAGTGGTTTGAAAGAAAATGGCCCCCACAGGCCCATAGGGAATGGCACTATTAGGAGGTGTGGCTTTGTTGGAGGAAGTGTGTCTCTGGGAGCAGGCTTTGAGGTTTCACATGCTCAAGCGTTGGAGGAAGTGTGTCTCTGGGAGCAGGCTTTGAGGTTTCACATGCTCAAGCGAGGCCCAGTGTGTCTCATGGTCTCTCTGGCTGCCTTCAGATCTGGATGTAGAACTCTTAGCTACCTCTCCAGTACCATGTGTGCCTGCATGCTGCCGGGCCTCCCACCATGAAGACAGTGGACTCGTCCTCTGAACTATAAGTCAATCCCAATTAAACATTTTCCTTTATAAGAGTTGCTGGGGTCATGGTGTCTCTTCACAGACAGAAGTTGGTACCAGGGACTAGGGTATTGCTGTGATAGATCAGCCCATGTTTTGTTTGGAGAAATGTAGACTTTGGGACTTTGATGTAGGAAAGCAACTGAAAGCTTTACGTGAAGTCTAATGGCCACACTGGTAAGAACGTGGAGGACAGTGGTGCTGGGGGTGATTTGAACTGTGGGTGCCTGGCTCAAGAGGGTTCCGAGGAGAATATTTCTGTGTGGCCTAGAGACCAGTCTTGTGCTATTATGGCTAAGAATATAGCTGCTTTTTGCCCTTGTCTAAAAAATCTACCTGAGGCTAAATTGAAGAGTTTGGGATAAAATGTTCTGGCAGAGGAAATCTCAAAACAGCCTAGTATTGACTGTGTTCTGCGGTCACTAGTGTTCACTCTTACACAGATCTATAATGAAGAGGAGAAAGCTGAGCAAAGAAAAACACAAAATGTACAGCTTGAGGTGAAAAGGGGCACCAGGAAGTAGAATGAAGCTAAG